TTCTTGGATTAAAGTACTTTTATTATTTTTTTGTGAATTCAAGCGGCTTGTGACCATTGTTCTTCTTATAATTTTAATATAGTTAAAAAATTTATAATTTGTAACTAATATTTTTAAAACAACTAATAAATAATGTAGTAAAATCATAATCTATGTCAGCATGTAATATATTTTTAAGCGGATTACATCTCCCCCTTGAGAATTTGTATCATACTAGCTTTTTCTACCTCATTACTAGTTTCCAAGAGATGTTAATACAAAAATAATCGGCATCGAGTTACTTTACAGCAAAGACAACGAGAGGACCTTGTTGTTGTCAATGTTATATGTATTCGGGTCACCTCACTGACCTGTACAAGTGTACAGTGTTACAACAGTCGTGTACCAAACCTGTGTAGGACTGGTTTAGAGGGTTAGCATAAACAATTGATACAACACAACACAACACAAACTGACAACACACCCACACACACTGACACCATTCTAAAATAGACATTACATTTACATCAGGCAGTACCTTTTTAGTAAATTTATCTATGGATAAGCAGGTATTACTGTTGAAAGTGTTATACCAAGCCTCATACAAAAATAAATCATTTGAACGTGGTGAGCCTAAAAAATTAACAAGCAATAATTTTGTAGCTAAGCTCACACATAAAGACAATAACGTTATTATCACGGAAATTCTCAAAGGCACAGAAATAAAGTCTATATTTACCACACACAAACGGCCATTTGGAATATAAGAATGGATTTTATCAAAACTATATACACATGATAATACTGTTAGGAGCCTGAAACAACACCTGAAATGTTAGTTTCTAAAATAAGAGGAAAAATAGAGGTATAGTTAACAGAGTAAAGTATTTGATCTCACTTCCAATTTCGTTTGAACATCAAACTTAGACGTGTGGTCGTTGTGAGTTTCGCCGTTTAGTTATAATAACCTCTTTCTTGTTATTGACAGGTCTAACCTTAACAAACTGGTTTTGTAGTAAAACACGTGTCAGAGGAGACATAACATTAATTAATGTTTGTTTAATTATCAATCTGGGTAGAGGAAATTAAACAAATGCAATTATCAATGCAATGATTATTTTTCATAAGGTTTCTCGTTTACGTTTTTATACTGTAACTTGTTTTTCGTTCCGGCTGGCTTGGCTTGCTTTCTGGTCTCCATCCTTTTGTCCCCAGATAGGTTTTTCAATTTTGTCATCTCAGTTCATTTTTGCAGCAAACAAAGGTTAGGGCTCATACAGGCATGTCTGATTTCCAGGGTCTGTTCCACCATCTTACAAATTACCCACATAGCTAGTATCAGCACCTAACTCCATACATACACTACAATACTCTACATAAGCTCTAAACCTATACACACGCCATATATCCCTACAGAATAAGAAATAATTATATGTCATTATTTTTAGCATTAGAATTGATGAGATATTTTTCAAGGTGAACAAAAACTACATTCTTTTCCACTCACTGTACATATTTTGATACATTTAGTAGCAATACACAGAGTTTAAACATTAGTAACGAAATAAGGAAACGCAGTAAAAAATCTATCTAATATAACTTTTTACCATACAAGGTGATTAGAAGGTAGACAGTTTGTATTTAATTTAACAAACAGTTTGTTCATTTCATTTGTAATCATCCTTACCGTCTTACTATGCCAATATCTTACTAATTTATTATACAACACATAGACATAAAGTGAAATCAGTTAAAATCTCAACAGATTTTCCAATTTAAAAAAAATTGTGGATAAGATGAGTAAGATTTTAAGAAATACGTGCTTTTCTCTTATTCCCTCGCCTCGTTTGTAAAACATGAGGCAAGCAACTAACTAGTACTCATCAAAGATCCTCCCCACAGTGCCACAAACCACTCTAAGGATAAAGATCGTCTTTGTTGGTGTCTTGTCTTTGCTAGTGACGTCTTTGAATTCCTATAGAATTGACCAGGTAACCTTTCCACAGGGTGTTACTGGACCGTTAACACTGCATTCCTGAACATGTTAACAACTGCTTGGTTGACTGTACTACTGTGGTACTGTGGTGCTGTGGTGCTGTGGTACTGTAGTACCGTAATATATAATAAATATAATATTTATAATAATAAATAAACACTTAAACATATCGTTCTCCAACTAAAGGTCACGGCAAGACAAACTTGGCAACGTCGCAGCCCAGGCCTACCGAACAGCTGTTGCACTGAATGGAGTGTCTGCACAATTTTTATGCACTCAACACTTAAAATTCAGTCATATTTGGGTTAAAATACGCAACTAGGTAGCATAGCTATCTCAATAAATTGATAATTGACCATTGATATGTTTAGACGTTTGCTGTTTAGTTTTTCTGGCATGGCAATAGGCCACTAGTGCGACCTTGCCACACACCAACGTTATTTATCTTTCTACCGTGGCTTTGAATAAAAGGAGGCTATGGTACTATTGATGATTTATAATAATTAGGGTTGTCTTATTGATTGTAATGTATTTCTACGTTACCTATATCTGAATTTGTTGTAGTCTTTTATTTCCCATCTTAAATAGGAGGTATACTCAAACAGTTTTCTCTTATGTACTACAGTATAGGCCTACACATCATATTACTGATCTTAGATTGACCAACCCTGACTGGGTAGAAATATGGTTTATCCGCCCTAAATCTTGTAAAATATTACTAAAACCATTTCAGGAAAATGTTTTAACCATTTAAGGACATCCATTCCAATTTACTGCAATAACATGATATCAGATCCCAAAAGTTTTAGCCTTGTTATAAGCCATACGGTAAATGAAAACCCCAACTTAAGATGTACAATTGCTTATATAGACCAATCCTAGACTTGGATACTCGACCTAGGCTTGATCCCATGAGCATCATTTAGGATATTGTACTGTAGTTAGCAAAGTGTTGATCTTGTTCTTACTTATATCAACTTTATAATTGAGTTCAACAAACCACACAATATTAACTTTTATTTCCACCCTTACAAGTTTGTTTTGGATGATGGAGTGTTCTAGTGATGACACGTTTGACGGATTACTTCTTTAACTGTTTGTTAATTCAGTTACCTACGTGTAGAATAACATTAATGGCTATAACTTCAACAATAACAGCAATCTATCAAATCTTGCTTATCTAAGGTGTGGCTGTTTGAACTTCTATATAAGAAGTAAAACACTTGAATATAACAATACTCTTACAAAAAATATTTTTAGTTTATCATAACTACAATATCAAATTAAAAACTGAATTTAAAACAAAATACAAAAAGGATGTCTTCATTATTATGTTTTTGCACATAAATACTTGTTGATGATTGTATAATATGCCAAATATAATTGTATGTTTTAAAAGGAGTTTAAAACTTAAATCAGTTGGACTCATGAACGTAGTTTATATTCTAAAAAATGTATTTCCTCGTTAAAATAAAAGTATTCTACTTAAAATCTAGAAATCAATACAAGGAACGAAATAACATACATATTCGAATATTGTTAAAGGATATAGAATTAAGTACAGCACACAAACAACCTCTGCTATTAATGTTTGAATTAATTGTTTCATAACAAAATACCTTAGAAGTAAAATTTATCTTTTTTTTCTTTTTGTAGTTGACACATTTAAAAAAGTCAAATTATTCAAATCAATGTATAAAACTAACATAAAATAAGCTCTACCACCTGCTAAGTAATATGGTAGATTTACTTTAGACACCAAAAATCATCCGTAAAGCTAAACAACTTAAAAAAGTCGTTCCTTGATTGTATTTTAGTACGATGATTAAAAACATTTTGTTGTGCAATTACAATTATAGTATTTGACAATCACATAAAATGTTTTAATTACGTTTCAGAAAACATGAAGTCATGGTAATAAATATAGCATATTTTAGATACTAATTATCACAACATCTGGTGAAAGGGAATATGAGAATGTTGGTGAGGTGCAATAAAACAGTTCAGTTAACAATATATTCATATATTTTATTAGTCTTTATATACAAAAGTAGATAATTGTAATTTATTATAATAACATGTCATTAAGTCAAACAGGTTATGATACACAATAATTTTAATTTTAAGATACATGTACTTAAAACTTAAAAAGTACTATTTTCTACAAAGATATTGTAATAATTAGATTGTTTTTACCATTGTAATAATTCATATATTAAATAAATTTAAAAGATTTGTTTAGTCAAGAACGTATACGAGTTATATGAACTTAATCATACTAAACATTCAATACAAATGTGCCAAATCCGTTTTCATTTTAGTTTATTACAATTAATATGTAAGTTTTGGATAGGCTTAGCAATATGTAAAAAATTAAGTTTAGTATCAGGGCCAATGTATGGGTAATATAGATAATTTATTATTGTGAGGTGGTATAAAGAAAGATGGGGTTTTTTTATTGTTTTTAATTATACTTTTGACTTGCTATCTTATATTTCAAAGGTGCATTTTTTTCATTATGTGTACGTACAGATAATGACCGTAATTGATTATAAATACACCATGGTCAGCATACAACAACTTTAGCTCCAATTGGTTATGTTTTCCCAGTACGCATGTTGTATTTGTCAACTCTTATGTGTAAAACGATTATGACTACATACATGTGTTTTAACTATAGTCAACTCAAATAGAACTGGTGGTTATATAACACCAGCTGGCCTATTTCAGAACTTTACTTTGACCCACCAGCTCTATTTGCTTGACTTTTAAAGCAAGACTTCACAACATCATTGAAGTTTACATAATTGTTTGACTATTGCATACATTTCCCATTACTAAAATTAATATAAATTGTTCAAAAATGAAAATAAAACTATTATAAATTTGACAGATTTTTTAGTTATATACATAAAAAAACATTGGTATGTACTAAAATAGAAGAGGTCCTACTTATTCAACATTGGTATAAGAAATGTGACAAACAATATTTCAAAACGTTAACATATTAACAGTACAGCCTATTTAAAACATCCCTTTAATTTGTTATTCTTGTCTTAAGAGAGTTAAGCGTTGGATTTTAAATCCACACTGGGTATTTAAATATATTTTGGATTCCAATAAGAAGTCCATTGTCTTTCATGTACCATGAAGAACTCCACAGACTTTTGTTTGTACTTAGCTTGTTTAAGCTTCCACACACCTTAAGATTTTCATTAATTAGGCACCTTAAGGTTCAAGGTCACTCTGTAGTTTTACAGATGGTGAGGAGAATGTGTCGTCAGCTGAGTTAGCATAGTAGATCTGTCTCTCTCCTTAAACCTTATGGAAGTCGCTCGACTCTGGGAAACAGACAGTTGACGCCGTGGAGGTCCACGACACCAACGACAAAGAGTCTTCTGGAAACTCTCCCTGAAGTGCTTTGACATGAAGCCGTACACCAGCGGGTTGACGCAACTAAAACAGAAACATTATTTTTAGTTGAGATGGAGGTCAGCTAGGAGCTTATTTTATCCCAAATATGAGTGAAGGATGAGTGTAGAATGGTGTGAAATGTGTGTAGCTCTGTTACTGAGATCAGCTGTTTTATCAGTCAGGATCATTTATTACTTCCCAATGACCAGGAACAGTTGGGTTTCGAACAATCACAATTCTCCTGACTTTTCTCATGATCGAACCGGTGAACTTTTGATTGTTAGGCGAGCTCTTTAATCACTCATATAACCAAACAATTAGTTTAGAAATACAAAATAATAAAAACATGTACCTGATGTAGTACTAGTGAACATATCTTGTAATTAAAGTAATTAAGTTTATATGGTTTTGATCTAGAAGGACACATTGTCAATACATGTCAAATCAAATAGTAATCGGTCCAGATAAAATCTGAAACTTGAATGGCTTAAGGATATGCTCCAGCCCGGAACCGTTTTCACATTACTTTAGGTTAGACCTAGAGGGCCACTATCACTTTGGTAAAATTTATTGTTGATTGAAGGGATTTGAACCCAAGTCCTCGGAGACCGAACTCCTGCGCTCTGACAATAGACCAGCTTGCTCCTTCCCCTCATCTGATAGACACTTTTGCAATATCTTTCTCATACTTGTTCTTAAATAACAGTCAGATGAAAATTAAGTATTTTACCTGAACTTTGGAAAGTACCTCTACTGTAAATATATATTAATGATGAATAAATATTAATACAAATTTCTCATGTATTCTATTTGTAAGGCTCTTTGCATTGCAAAACCTCATATGAAATATTAAATAGATATTTTAAACCATTTTATTGGTTCCACCCTACAAGCTCTCTCACCTGTTGAAGTACGCCATGAGATGGAACACCGTCCTCACATGTTTTGTGGTGCCCGCGGCGTGTTCTGGGACCACGTGGTAGGCCGTCAGCAGATCTAGGACTATGATGGGGCCCCAGCACACCACAAACATCACCACAATCAACACCAGCATCTTGATGACCTGGAACGTCTAGACCACGTTAGAGCTCGTATTAAAATCATTAGTGTGATCTATAATCTTACAATAGTGGTAACTTTGGTTATCTTAGGCTAGATTGGAATATTTTTTGGTAATAGAGGATTAAACTTGTCAGAAATATTTCAGTTACAAAACGTTTATTTCGTAAAATTAAAATTAAAAAAAAAAACTATAAAAATCTACCTAAAAAATTACTAAACACTTGAGCGTCCCTATAATATAAGTATTTGAAAGTTGTATCTACAAAATGATTGATTGGTTTGTTCTATCTAAAAGCGATAAATTCATAAGGCAACCAAACTTCTAAAGTTGAAAATTGGGACTTTTTAATTATATGCGAGTCTGTAAAGTCTGCGAGTTAATAAACCCTTCAGGTTTATTACTTTAGTATTTGCTATATTGTTAGATGATCATAACTATAGATACATTCTTCGCTGAGCAAAGAGTGTTATAATACACTGCAGCAAAAATTTGTTCTGTTATAATTTTATTAGTTAGTTTTTTGTTTGATATTCATCATGAAAAAGAGTTATTTAGTGTGAAGTTTTTAGATTGAGTAGTAACAATCTTTTTGTGTAAAAGTGTTAAATTGTGTGATAAAAAGCCATCGACAATTGCTGAACTCAGCATATTAAGAAGTGTAAAACCTCTTGAATCAGATAAATAAGAATGTTAGATGTCCCAATGCTTTATTTACAGCTTGGCAAATTTAGCTTGAATAAAAACTTAAATATATTGAAAATTTTTAACTGAGGATTTCTTGGTATTATTTATACACCAGAAATATATTGTATACTTATAAAAACGATTGAATACATAAGATATCGCCTGGAACCCTTGTTGATTCCAGTGGCTAAACTAGAAACTTGTCAACAAAGTCAAGTTTTGACATGCAAACAAATATGGTAAAACCACGGGTGAAACTTGTAAAATAGTTTGGCCAAGAACGCAGCTAACCATAATCCCAACAAGACATGTTATTACATTATTACATTGTTACAACAATTCAAAGTAAGTTTTAAGAATTGATTTTTGAGCATTTCGTTTAAAAAAAAAAGTGTATTCAGTTGAGATTTAATTATTTCCGTTCTGCTAGGAAATCTTGTAAGAAATATACATTCACATGCAGTAGTCTCAAAGCTTTTTGACGAATATTTATGGGATTTATATGTACATATTTTATCAATGTATCGAAATTTCAATTCAAATCCATAGGGTGTTCATAAAAGGTGGGAATCTAAATTGCTTAGTGATTCCTTGGGTCAAAATTAGAAAACAATTTGATAAACATATGTCCTATCTAGTTTAGTTTAACGTCTTTCTACATGTATTTTTTACAAAACCATTTAAAACTACCGATTTTAAATACAGCCTTGAGATTCCAAGATTTATTTTTGTAAAATGAGAACTAAAACACTGAACCGTTCAAAGTGGCGGCTATTTTAAATATATGTTATGTCAAATTTCACAAAAAAAAAACATATAAAATTACATAGTTAAATTAAAATTTCTATAGCAATAACTAAACTTGACGTGTCTTGAAACTGTTAAATAAAATTTAAGATTTTTCGAGGAATTTGGCATAAAACATTTTAAATATCTGAAATTTTAAAAACATTTTGAAGTTTTTTATTTGTAATTTTGCAATGTTTGTGTAACTTCAACGCTGTAGCTTAAACTGTTATGAAATTTGGCATAAAATATTTAAAACCGCCGCTATTTTTAAAAGGTTCAAGAGTTTCAATTTTAATCATCCACAAAGATAGCTTGGAATGTCAACGCTGTCTCAAAACATTAAGGTTAGAAAAAAAAACACAAGCGAAACTAAACGTTATATGAGAGTTGTGTATACACTTTTTGCCTATTTTAACCCAAGAAATCACAACGGAAATTATGTCACAACCTTTTGTAAACACCCTGTACATACAAAAGTGCAACACAGTAACAAAACTTTGCAAATCTATATTTTACAGAGCTAAACACATTTTCTACCAGTTTTTTGCACATGAGTTGCATTTAGACATTTCCTCTTTAGCTTACCCACACCTGAATTCTGCTCTTGGGAACGTGTCCGAACATTGAAGAAATTGCAGAAACTGTTTCGACTCCCTGTTGAACAATGTGTTGGTTTCAAATGTCCAGTAATAGTTTATTTAACTTTAAAAGTGTGTTTTGTGATGTGTTAATTATTTGTTTATGTGTAGCCTTGAAAATTGAAATAAATTAATGTTTGAAATTTTCAACTAATAGTTCAATAGTTGAAATGTTCAAGGATTCAACTAATAATTAAACTCAATATCTTAACAGCAAAGAAAGATTAACGTTTATAGTTTGCAGTTAAAACGTAAAACGATTCCTCCCAATATATAAATGCAAATTTTAACGATTTAACTTTTAATGAGTCCTAAAACAGACATTTTGATTTAGTGGCAATAACGAATTGATAGCAAGAAAAAAAAGCAAAAATACAATTTTAAAAGTACGTTGTTTGTGTAAAACAACTGTCGATTGGGTAAATTTAGTTTTACTTGTTTAAATCGTGCCATAGTGCGTGGAATGTTTCTTAAAAATTTCCTTACAGCCTATTTAAAAAAACATAAATATGTTTAAATAGGATAAAGATAAAGTGTGCAAACTTATATAAATTCATAACAAGCACTGAGAATAGAAAGATGATACATTTCACAAAAAGAATAGGAGTTACTTATAAAGCAGATAGAAGATATGGAAGTAAATAGTTGTGAAATAGCTAAAGAGAATTGTAAATCTGTGTGGAATAGAAGTTGACCAATTCAACAATGGACTCACTTGTCTAACATTGTTGCTGCGGTCGTCGCTTGCAATGTTCTCGTTTTTGAACCCTCCACTCTCTCTCTTGGTAAGTGGTATACTCTCGAACATGTGAGTTCTAAAAAAATAGGAATGAGTTGAGAATATACAGTTGAGAATATAAAGTTTGTACTCTTACTGCTGAGAATGTGAGAATGTAAACAGTGTGCAGAGCATGTGAACTCTAATAAAGAATGAATAAAAATTACAAACATATAGTAAGCTAGGTTATAGACCTGGTCATACACTTGCCGAGGCGGTAGCTTAGTAGCTAATCTATGACAGAAATAATGTGATTTTGAGATCCAGTCTGACACTAATATTTATCATAAAACTTAATTATTGTACTGCACCAGCTCACAGATTGAGGCCAATATGGACGACATTGTCAATGACAAAAAGTTGTATCAGCAATCTGACAAATACTTTCTCCCGTTAGTCAACGACATTTATAATCGGTAAGTAATTTGAGAAACTAGAAAATTTATAGGTAAAATCACATAGAGCAATAACTTTTGGACTGTATTTTAACTAGTATTGATTCCTGTACCATTTTGTTTAAAGTTGAATGACCTTTAGCAAAATATTATATTTGTATACTAAACACCCTTGAAGCCGTCTAATATCCGTAAAAAAACATATTTCTCCGTCCTTTTATGGGTTAAGTAATAAATTGACATTACAATCTAAACACACACACATGAATCATTTGGAAAATCTCTTTTTTTTTGTTCAGGGGGACCTAAGACTCAGACTTAAAACTCCCGACAAATAAATTTCTTTCTCCATATATTGTGTATGTTGGGAGAAAGTAAACATATGCAATGAATGCTTTGCAATTGATGATCTAGGTAGCAGTACAAAAAATAGAACGTCAATTTGACAGGTGACATTATAATACAGATGTTATGTTGCAATTCATAATTAAACTGACCCAACTACGATGACCAGATTATATTATAACAAAGTCACGTTATATTTATGTCACATTACGTTTATATGTTACATAACTAATATATGTAACATACTTTACATGAATGTAATGTATGTGTTGTTAATTAGTTTTCAAACTATTCTGAATTAAAAAATGTCGCAAATAATTATTATTATAGCATTACACTATAGGAACTAATTATGTTTGAGTTTAAAACATTGTCCTTGCTTCAAAATAAAGATAAAAAGTTAATTATTTATGTAGTTAAAAATATTCATTACTTTATAGCATGACCACCATATTTTATCCTTTGATTATATGATAAAATATGTATAATGTTGTTGAACGTTTTACCGCACTAATTAGTTATCCTCCACTGTTTGATAATCCATTCCCTTTATACAACCGAAGCTCCTAATAACTTATAATAAAGCCACAAAACATCTTAAGTACCAACTTAGTTTACTCGTATAAGTGGTTTAGGGATATTAAGTTTTTGACTTTGATGCCCAACTTAAGTCATCCTGATTCCGAATATTCGCTTTGTTGTCATATTATATACCAACAAGTTATACAAATGTACGTTTTACACTATGAATTTAGTACGTTTGGGTGTTTGTTTTTATGTTTTATAAAAACTGTAAACCTATGTGGTTTGTGCCAACAATATAATCTAAACCCAAAATGTTTTCACAGTTTCTTTGAAAAAAGTCAACTTTTTAATCAGTGTCCAATTATTGATTTAACTTTCTTATTGTAATTCAATGTTAAATGTATTTAATGTTCCCTTCTAAAATGGTAGAACGTAAGCTAGAAGACGAGACGATATTTCAATATAATATAGAGCACCCTTGGTAGTAAATTCCATTGTAGCTAAACACAGCACATAAATAGTTCATGTTATTCCCTACACAGAACAAATGTTTACTTTTAGCCAGCTTTTAAAATGGGGAGACAACTTGAGAAGCTTGTAAAATGATATTTTAGAGATATATTGTACTTCAACAACTAGTTGCAATCCCAAAAGTAAGTTGTGTACTTAGTTAATTGTATCTGGTTTAAATGTTGACCAGATCACAACAACTTTTTTGAAAAAAGCAAGTTTACTGCGCACCATCTTTAAAAGCATAACACTTTTTTTATTACAATCTAAAATGGTTGGATAAAGTTAAGCAATTTAGCTAACAATTTAAAAAATAACACAAAAATAATGGAAATAATAATAAATAAATAATTCTCATGTAGAAATATTAGATGTATGATTAAATGGTTCTAAAACAATGTGTTTCGTCTAAAGGTATTTGTAGGTGTAGTTATATATAACTCAGGGATAATTCTTTTTCATTTCATTTAAAAACAACCACAAAGAAATAAGGTGCAGAGGAAAATTGCTTATGGGATGACCGTGTGTGTTCTACTCTATTATATTGTGCCGGAAATACTTGTTACGAGCAAGGAAGAACCCGAGTGGCAAGCACTGTGCAGAAATGCTTATCACAGAGGACACAGGGTCCTTCTTCACTGTGATAGTTGTAGTACATGATAATGAGAGGGTGGTGATGGACTTTGGCCTAGACACCAGCGGCTTTTGCTAGACACCAAGAATGTTTCCTCTGTATTTTACTTCTCTGTGACAACGTCAAAGGCAAAAGAATGGAATACTAAGCTGCAAAATATTATTAAAAAATTAAAAATATATATTTTGGCAGGAGAAGTACGAACATACAGTTAGAAAAATCAGAAGTACGAACTTAGAGTTAGAAAAATGTCAATATTTAAGTTTAAAGAAGTTATCAATCTACTTTATCGACACTTACGCTCTGCCTGTCACCATGCGATGCCTTTCCTTCATGACTTGCCAAATCTCCCAGCAGATAGCACTGTAGGTCACTACCATGACGCTGGTAGGTACTACCAGTATCAGGCCCAGCATGTACAGCTGGTACAGCTTCAGCAAGGGTCGGTTGTCGTAGTCCAATGTACAGTAAAAAAGGTTGAAACGGGGTCCAACTGCCATGTGCACCTGGAAATTACTAGGAGTTTACTATAGTTCGTTTTTAAGATAATCTGTTTAATTCTTAAACATATTCAAACAATATTTAAACTATTGTTAACAATATTTAAAATATTATCATGGTATGCATGTTAGTTGTCTTCTGGTTGGGACCGTTTCATCAAATTGTGTTTTTCAATTACGAAACATAGTTTAGAAGACACTGGATGTCAATGGATTACAATGGATACCGGGAAGACTACAATCTTCACTAAAATTATTATCGTGCTAGTAATACTATAGACGAAGCAACACAAGTAGACTCTTCATCCCATTGTAAATTTTGAAGCTTGTTTTTCGTGTCTAGTTCATGTACGTCCCCATTGATCGCTGGGATAGACAAAATTTTGTTTATACTATTTTAGGGTTATTTTCATGGTTTGTGCTCTACTAATTGGTTATATAACTAGGAGACCAGTTATTGTTTATGATTATATCGTTTTATATTATTTATCTATGGTAATACATAAAGTGCATTAAAAAGTTGCATTGGATAAATGCAAAAAATCGTATTTGTTAATGCTTAATATTCCTTTACAGAATCATTTATATTACCTCTCTGAGAGGTTTGTAATTATTGTTGTTAGGGCGATGTATAAAACCAGGTCACATACTAAACATAAATGATAGGCAAATTAATGGTAAAGATCTGGATATATGTCTCTTTAAGTAGTGTATATGTCTGTCCTTTATACCTTAAAAGGACTCGTGATTTTGAAAACATTTAATATATGTCACAGAACATAACGCAGTTTCCACTCTTGACCAAATACTTGATTCCTTATAAGTTTAAAGAGACTCGCCTTTTTAATTTTTTTTTTGAAATTTTTAAAGGTTATAAATTATGAAACAATTTGGTGGTCTACCAATAAATTATCAAGACAAAAATACAAATATTTATTGTACACGTATCAGCTATCTGTGATACAGTACTTAGTGTATAACGGTTCTATAATACGTCCAATTATAAATACATTATATTCTATCAATCCATTTATTTCTGTTTATTTGTAGAGTTTAATTAGTCAATACATGGGATTGCCACTTTACTAATTAAGTTAATACTTTGTGCACATAAATTTATATAATTGTATTTAAAACTTTATTTTAGTGTCCATGTATGGCCATAATTTTGCTTACTGTTTACCTATTGACACTGTTATTAAAACCTAAAACAAAACAAGAAAAACGCTGAAAAATTATTTATTAAATTATATACATACAGTATACTATAAATGTATTATTTACCTGAATAGCAAGGTTAGGCAAAGCGAGCAAAATAGACGCCAACCATGTTGCTAGAATAATCTTCTTGGCCTGACTTATGGTGCAAATATATTTTGCTTTCATTGGATGGACTATTGCGTAGTACCTGTAACATATTTCCACCTACTTTGTAAAACGTGGCTAATTTTCTTTATAAGTGAGCTTTTATTTTTTTACTAAAATAGCTAAACTTTTAAAATTGCCTTTTCTAAGAAAATGTTTCTTTCTGGAAAAAGATTAATAATGGATCATGCATTATGAGTATGATAGGGAAGTATAATGTCAACATACAATAAAATTAATAAAATTTGAGTATAAAATTATTAGTTAACGTAAGTCAAATTAACCATTTACTAGAGCTATCAGCGTCATTGGAATGGAGAAATAGTATCACATGCTGTAAGATATTTACTCTACGATCATTATACTTGATTTCTGGATAGTAAATTAGTTTTTAGGAATATATTTTTACAAAACTTTACTTCCAATTACATATGTATATGAGAAAGCTCATAAATATTATCAGTAGAACAATCACTGATCATCACTATTCGTTACATAACTACCTAAATTACTACAAATAAAGAGGTTTGTAACTAATATATTAATTTATGCGCAACCCCTAAACATTACAAATATTATTGCTCTCATGAATTTTATGTGTTCATTAACTTGTGTTAAAAGCTTTAACTTTCTTTTTGAATATTTTAGACATATTTACGAACCTTTCAACACTAATAGCAGTGAGGGTAAGCACTGAGCAAATAGCGGACACGTTCTGCATGTAATGGACTACTTTGCAAAGCAGGATCCCCATTGTCCACGTGTAGGAGAATAACTTTGCCACCTAAAATAACAATAACGGTCATAACAGGAGTGAAATAAACAAATAGCAACAGTAACAATACAAGTGAAATTAAACAAACAACAATGGTGACAGCAGGAGTACAATAAAACAACAACACTATCGGCAAAATGAAAACTAACGAATTACAACAAGAGTAGAATCAAAAACCAAACAACACTAACAATGGGATTGAAATCAAACAAACAAATAGTGACAACATGAGTAAAATAAAACAAACAACAACAGTAACAACAGAAGCAGAGTCAAACAATAACAACATTAACAATGGTAGTGAAATCAAACAAACAGCAACAGTAACAATATGAGTGAGAACAGACAAATAGCAACAGTAACAATAGGAGTGAAATAAAAAAAAACAACAGTAACGGCAGGAGTTAACTCAAACAAACAACCATAGTAACATCATGATTAAAATAAAACAACAACCACAGTAACAACATGATTGTAATCAAACAACATCAGCAACAACAGGAGTGAAATCAAACAAATAAACCAGACGATACCAAACGATTAACGCAGAATAAGCTAACAGGCCATTAACTGTTGTCTTTTTTTTATTAAAAGGTGCGAAAACATCCAACACTTTAACTACTGATTAAAAGTCTCAGTAAACTACTAAAACAATTTAATATAATGTTAAGTGTTGGTTTTAAATATCGTTAAACAGAGGAATGTCATAGGATCGTAGGAGAAAACTAACGTTTACTTAGAGTTGAATAAATTAATTAGATAAAGTCGAACGACAAAATAAATATAGCATAGTTTAAATTAGTCAAAGGAATCGACGTCTTCAAAGGGTAGGCTATAACTAGCTTTGTGTAAACAGATAAAAAAATAATAACTATCGAAAATTTTAAACTTCATTTAACAAAGTTTCGTACTAATAAATATCATACAATATTGTGGCTGTATTATTTTTATGTAATTTTTCATATTAAATATAAAAATAGTTAGGCTTTTCGTGTGGCATACTTTTGTCTGCATACTAATCAACATTGAAAAACCTTAATTACATTTAGAAAAAAATTTAAAATTTTAAGCATTTTATATATTAAATTATACCGGTACATTTCAGTATATCCAAAAAACAAACCCATAAATAATTCATAAAAGAAATTGTTTAATTAGAATATATAGAACAAATACGAAACATTAAATTATAATCAACACTTTGAATTAACATTTATATTGCTCATAATGTTTTCATTATCATTAGTTTTAACTTTATTTTCTACAATTTAAAACGTACTCAATTAGTGCTTGATTTATTATGTCAGTAATACAACAAACTGAGCTTAGATTTTTCCAATCAGTTGTAAATAATATTAACATCTGGTTTTATCTTTAGGTTATTAAGGTTAGTTCGATTAGATGGCAATAGAAAATAATATTTCCTAATAGTTTTTTTAATTATTAACTATTATTTACAAGCAATCCTGTATGAACTAGCTAAATGTTATATTTCACCTACGCTATTAAAAAACAACATACGCACATGAACTACGTAACTCTATATAAAATTACTATTGACTACAAAATGTCATTTTCTTCACTGTCTTGGTAAAGTTTAAGAAAAAGCTGTTCATCTCAAGTTAAACTACCATCAAAGGAGGTTTTTCGTCACAAACAATGCCAGGGAAGAAAATTAAACTTGGTCAACCGTAAAGTTAATTTGATTACTCTTCTTGCGGTCATGAACCAAGGAATTACTCAACCACAAGTCAGTTTTGCACCTGTTTAACACGTTGTAACAGGTTATCAATGTGATAAAGTTTATTTGTTATCAGTCTATGTTTATTTGATCTATAGGGAGTTTACATATTGTGCTAGCATGTAACGATTCCCTGTTTCTTTTATGATAAGATTTAGCATCACTTGATTTTTAAATTAGAGATTCTAATGGGTGGAGCTAAGACTTAGATTTTTAAATAGGCCACAGCTAAATAGGTAAAGCTCCAATCGAACAAATTACAATTTGCTTAGTCTGCAGATATGCTGAGGCTGGGTATTTTGATTCACTACAGTGTACTATTAGTGTACGCTCCTTTTTCACCTCTTGTCTAGATATGTTTCAACTAAATAAACGTAAGCGTACTTTTTAAAAATGCATCACATAGGTACAGTATTTTCGTACATGTATCAGGGCCTTATATAGTTTGTACTAAGTAGCCTTATAAGTTAGTCAAGCTTTAAGGGAAGGTTATTTAATCAAACCAAAGGTCCAATTGAATTTAGTTCTGAAACCAAAGGCGGATGTGTAGCCTAACAATTTTATACAAGATATAAAGGAGAAGTTTTTCTCTTCAGAGTGCTCTACTTTGCAAAGAACGGGTACAGCAGCCTGTTTAGTATACAAATTAAAAGTAAAAACAATTATTCTTACAAAACGAAATTCCAAAATAAAACATTGCAGTAAAAATAAATACTGAGGATTCAAAGACAGAGTTTCGATACGGAGATTACTGTCAACAATCATTATAGTTGCAATTTGTTACGGAAAAGCAATACAAGAATCAAGCAAAAATATAATCCCATTCAATTTTATCTCTTTCCCATATATTTTCAAGATTATTATAATAAATATTTTGCACAACAAAGTAAATATACGTTAGCAAAAAGGAAACTCTACTCTGTTGTCGTTCCTCATATTTTCCTGTTTTATTACTTGTTGACGTGGCTCACTGTGACTAGCCTGATATTCTTCATTTTGGAGTATTTGGCTTCGTAATTATTTATTCTGTTGAACAACCTTTATGGGTGAATCGTTACAATATTCACTTTTCTAGTAACAGAGGACCAACATTTAAAATTTCCAAACAAGGAGGTGTTGACATTTTAAGGGTTAGTTTAGGTAAAACCCGGTTCCGAATGTCTAAACGTGATAACTCATGTATATTTATTAACAATTTATTTATTTTGCAGACAACATGGTTAACTTGAGGTTTTAATTTAGCTATGTTTATTATGTACAGTAATGGATTCTAAATAGCTTAAACAAGTATAAGTGAAATAAAACCAGAATTATCTTAAATGTTTCGCTTACTAACTCTCCCATATCTTATTAAGCCTGAATATTAAATATATATATATTAATATTATAAATTGTATAATCTCATTTACACTTAGGAAGGTGTTGGTTACAATAATAAACGTTACATTTTAGAGACGGTAGAACACAAAGTAAAAGGGAAATTCAAAGTGTCTTGGGCCACAATTACCATTTAAATTACCAAGATAAACTATCATGAATGAATAATTAATTTTTATTGTTTCATAATTTTAAGATGTATCGACATTTAATGTTAGTTTTATAATATAATACCGATAGTTTCAGTTGAATCGAAACCATTAGGCCTAATCTTTACAACAAAATGTATGACGATAGTTAAATTAACTTGGAAAATATTTTTTTAAGCACTAGTTGTATTTGCCTTGGAAATGAAATTGTTTTTAAAAAACAACCACATGAAACATGAACTACATGAACTACATGAAAAAGAATCCTACAAAATATTGGTTAAGATTCATACTACAGCATTAACTAATGAGGATCCCTACTATTTACTACGTCAAAATATAGATTCTGCTAGGGCTGATTATAATTTAAATCCCACACACGATGTTGTGGGGGAGAAATATGTTTTCCTAGTAGTTAGGATGGTGTTTGTGGATCATTTTTAACTCACACATTGTTAATGTTTTCACGGAATTAATTGCACATGTCCAAGATTCCCTATATTTCATAATAAATGGATAACTGTGTAACTATAACACCACACAAATGTTTTGAAACATCCACACTATGAAGCCATATACAAATTTTGAAACATGTATATTTGGACGATCGATAAAAAACAATAACACAGGGTAAGAGAGGCGCCATTTGAGGCAGTTTGTGATATTACCTACTCGTGCTTTTGTCCAATGTTTGCTCATGGATCTCACAGTGCTACAATATTAAAATATTTTGGCTTTACTAACTTTTTCGAGGAACGGAACCATATAAGTGGCATTTAAGAGGGAATAAGTTATTACTATCATTATTATGATCTGTGGAGAAATGTATTCTGTTAAGTTGGGTTATTATCTTGAGGCTTATGTGGTATCAAGTTTTGAAATAATATTTCTAATTTTACAAATGTTACTATTCGTTGTTGATTACTTATTTGATTTTTTTTTATCTGACTTTCAAAATGAAATACCTTGAATAAACTATGTAAAATATATTCAAGGTGATATTGGGACGTTCCATGATAAAGCATTTTCAATAAAACTCGAGTAGTTGTAGATAGTTGAGAACGTCGGGTGTTTCCAATTGGTTTAGCTATACCAATATTGGCTGTCCCATTCCTACCTAGCTGGCGAATCATAGAGCCTTATATTTACAGTTAAATTTAATTTTAATTTCTTTTTCTTGGTTTTTATTTAAGTACGATTGAACACTATATTACGTGTAAACAATATGTGCAGTAAAATTAAGACAGGTTTTCTTTTCATAATTGGAGATGTGTTTGTTTAGTATTTGTAATTAATTCATGAAGTTTATCTATTGACATTGATTTGAAATTAATAATAATATAATACATTCATGAATATCAACTCTACATTGTTATTAATTGTCGTTTTATTATTATGGATTGTCATTCAAACATTTAAATTATTGTTTAAATGACAATAATTTAAGCTCTAAAGCAAAATTAAAGTAACTTTTTGCAATAAGATATGTGTACAAATCTTAGTACATGTAGAAATCTGAAAAATATATTGTCTAAGTACAACTATTTATCACAAAAATATAATTAATCTTACAGAAAAAAACTTGAGAAAACATTGCAGTAGAAGAAACTCTAGAGATTCGAAGACAGCGTTCCGATACGACAGATTACTGTTAACAATCATTATAGTTCCAACTTGTCAAAGCAAACCACTATAAGAATCCCGAACTTTACTTAATGGGCATTAAAATTGGTTCTTTTGTGTTCTTCATAATATGTTTGTTTTTGCCTAAATAAATGCATTATTTAAATTCTTTATTTCATGTCAACATATCTGTTAATTGACTACACCAAAACGTTTTGACAGCTCAAATATTGCTATATCTCATTGTGTTTTTATTATGCTATAGCATAATTAAAATGGGAGTAGAATGGTAAATGGGCACAGAGTATTTGTATTGTCTGTTGAAAAGAGGACAATGAATGAATGACAAACAGCAAAGTTGAAATTATGTGTATGTTTTCAAGGTAAAAAATAGGAAAACGTAACTTTGACCCCATTAAACCCCGAATACCTCCCGTTCCCACACTTTGAACATGCAGGGTTGCAACGTACGAATAAACGTAGGTTTACCGAATTTCATCAAAATCGGACTAAAATTACTCGAATAATCGTACTAACAGTAAATGAATTTGAAAAGATATGGGAATCTTAGCCTCTAGCGACCACAACACGGAAAATATCCTGTCTCGGGTCTAGATCTTACCTCGAGACCTCAAACAACAGCCTACTCTTTATAGCTCGCTAAAACCAATGATCGTCTCTAACATACGGTGTAGCATGTTAGTCCGAACCCAGCCAGTATAGATAAACTTGTTGAATAAACAAACAAAAATACTGTACCTTGACAGGTATACAGATGAGTAACAGAAGGAGGTCGGCCGAGGCTAGGCTAGCTAGGAACACGTTTGTTGTACTCTTCATTCTTCGATACCTACAGATGGTAAAAACTATGAGCGTGTTGCCTACGACTCCTAGAAGAAACGTCGTACCGTAGACTACCTGGGGAATTCAGAACTATTAGTAATCCACCACAATTTGTTTTACATGTTTGATTATTAAAACTTCAATAATTTAGTCATAGTTGTGTTTAGTACATCAAGTAATTAACTAACAGTAAAAACAGTACTTAGCCAAGGCCCTACTATAAAAAAGGCCATGCTGCAGCGCAGGCAGTGCAACACTACGTCACAGTGGTGATTAGTTGTACTAAAGTTGGTAGATGTAAACGGTCAGCTTATTGCCTTAGCATACGGTATGTGGCAGTGAATCTATCCACAAGTGAGACATCATGGATCCTGCAGCATGGCCTTGAGTTAGCACAGATGAAATTAATTTGTTTGTAAATTATCAATTGAAGTGGGGACGACCTAGGTGCTATTTTAACACTGTGAGTGTAGAATGGAGTGAGATGATCTGTATGGCTTTGTTACCCACTAAAATCAGCTATTTAAAACCCAATGACCAAAAACAGATGGGTCGAGCTTCAAACAGTCAAAAACATAACGAATTTTCGCAGGCTCGAATCAGTAAACTATGAATTATTAGGCGAGCACTTTAACCACTCAGAAACCCAGCCATTAATATAATATTGCCTTAAAGATGAGTAGATATCCCATTTATATGGACCATCTATAGACAAATACTATATACTCAAATATAACATTTGACTAAGCTAATTGTTAATTGCGGCGTCAATTATAAACACTTTACTTCTGTCTTATTTTGTTATACCATAGCTTATTTGCATTAAAGATTCAACGCTATTTTTTGTTGACTCAATTAGTTGGCCATTGAGTTTGGTTAAAAGTTAAAAAGTTGGTGCAAACAACGAAACTCAGTAATTGGTAAAATTACTCTCTACCACAGGCTCAATTGGACTTGGAAAAATTGTATTTTAAAACTAGCTACAACTTTAACAGGGGAAAATAATCTATATTTTCTATCCATAATATAATATTCTAATCAACATATAAGAATATATTATGAGTCGTATTTTACACATCATACTCGTTAAAACATTAGGTGTCTTTAATTGTGATGTTTTAAGTTACCATTTACAGTAATGTCAATAAATGGTGTGAATAAAAGTGTTGTCCCAATGCTACTAAATAAATATTAGCAAACACTTACCAGAGTAGGTATGAGTTCATCCCAATAGAAACAGTTCCATGTCCTAGGCTGTGCGTTGTCTTCATAATCACTATTATTGTAGCTGTAAAAACAGTCATCGTCTATCTCGTAGTCATAGTAGCTGTAGTCAGATACATTGTGTACCTCAGGCCCCATCTGTAAATGACCAAACTTGTTTAATTATCTCATAGAAACATTGTATCTGTAGTCAGTAACATTGTGTACCTCAGGCCCCATCTGTAAAGTAGCAAACTTGTATAATTATCTCATAGAAACACTGTATCTGTAGTCAGTAACATTGTGTACCTCAGGCCCCATCTGTAAAGGACCAAACTTGTTTAATTATCTCATAGAAACATTGTATCTGTAGTCAGTAACATTGTGTACCTCAGGCCCCATCTGTAAAGTACCAAACTTGCATATTTATCTCATAGAAACATTGTATCTGTAGTAATAATGTACAATACAGGTCCAAATCTATAAAGTACTAAACTTATAGTTTTATTTAATAGAATCTTGTCCACACCAGAGACCCTTTCCATGAAACAACATTGTAAATTTATGTAATAGAAACTCGCCATCCTTCTTCAGTAACGTTGTTCACGTCAGGTTCCATCCGTAAAACAACAAGGTTTTACTTATCTTATTCACGTATGTTGTATATGGTTATGTAAAAATATGGTTTGTTCATGTATTACTTTACATTGTGTACAACATATGTGGAAGGAATATTTACGTCATCCTTGTTTATGTTTTAGTATTTCACCATAAGGATAAGGTATTCATAAAAATATTGTAATAAAATTATTGACAACGAATTATTAGTTTAAAATGTAAAAACTAATAGTACTCTAACCTAGAGTTCCTTAACGCCAAATATTGCGGTGTTAGTTACAATATTTACTAATATTAGCCGCTATATAACAAATTGTATTTATAAACGCAATAAAACCGTAGACATTTTATCTAGTTAGTTCGCAAAAATCTTATAAAAAATTCAATAAGATTCAAACGTGAAGACCAACTGTGGGGATTGTGATCTACTTTAGATTCAGTTTAGACTTCTCCTACAAAGGTAATGAAAGTGCCTCCTGCGGCACCGAACTCGTCTTATATTTTATGTAATCCCCCGCTTGACAACACAGTGGGTGTCAGCTGTATTACATTTGTATGTCTCGATACGCGAATAGTATCTAATGCCACAATATTGATTCAGGTCTTATTAGAGTGGATACTTTAATTCTTACGATCTACGCACACGTAAGTTTATGGGTACAGATTTAAGAACGACAACTTTTGAGGGTGAGAAATTTTTGTCATTACCACGAATAATGATATAGGCCTATACTTTGAGTTAGAAATAAAAATGTCTTTTCCATAGTTAGAAATCTATTCAAGCTAGTGAATTGCAGAATTAGTTTAAGAATACTGTAAAAAAAAGTCGTAAAGGAAGTATCAATACACCAGCAGGGAGGTCATTTTTTTTTTTCGTAAATTTTTTTTCGTAAATTCAATATTTTATAGTTACATTTCTCTGTCAAAATCCCTTTGCAAACTAAATACTTAAGTTTTCCCCACTTATTGCTTTAATTTAATAAGTATTGTATTTTATATGTAATTGGATATGTACGTTGTATTTTTAAAATAAGTTGAAACAAAATAGATCCCAAAAGTTTTCCGTCTATTCGTTGTTTGTTGGGTTCTTCTCATGTAAACCCCATTTATGGTTAGCCTATATTTTTCTGATAAATCCATATTCTCAGCCTTGTTAAAAAAATACTACGTGAATTGGCTGACATATGCCCTTTGGTACCAATACGAAGAAAGATTAAGAACCTAATTTCAAATTATTTTGAAACATCAATTGTACATTCAATAACCGTTTCCAATAAGAAAGAGATTATTGTATCCAATATAAATGAACTCTGAAGGTTTCAAAGTATAACTTTGATTGGTTGTGCAATTTTAAATTAGAATATAATAAATCAAATACGTCATCTAACACTATCCAACATCGTATTGTGTTTGGATACGTATTTCATTTAAATACATGAGTATATAATAGTGCACCACATAAAATGCTAATAAAGAAGTTATTTTAAGGTTAGAACTGTCCAAATTCAAAAATCTACAGAGCTCAATCAGTAATTTACCAAGTGTTTATTTTATTCAACCTCTCTCTCAGTTTCCACTTCAACAGGATATTGGTTCGGTGTTGAAGGATTAGAAGATTAACGCTCAATCTGAAGTTCACTTCGACCTTCGTAGTCCTTGATAGTTGCAGTAGAAAATATGTGATTTCTTCGTGTACGTTTAAGATATTTCAGTTTTATGGAGGGCATTAAAAGAAATAAAATAATTTCTATGATGAATGTAAGAAAATAAAAGATAAGATTTTACATTAGCCTTGTATTTATTTATTTTTTTACTAAGGTTGTTTAATGATTTTTTTTTACTTGTTTAATGAAAAGTGTAAAATGTTAAGCTTTCCATCGGTAGGAAGCCAGAATATATGTTATTAGGTAGTAGCATTGACTTTTGGATACTGAAGTAGACGTCCCATCTATATGGACCAGATGTAGCAAATTTTTTGTTAAAAAAGAACGTAGTTGTGTGAGCCAGTCACACAATGCGCTAGCGACTAAAACTCTATTTTCTACCTTATTTTTTGTTGCTGGCCAAGTTGATGGGTCATAACAGTTGTTATAGTTCACAATAAGTCATTCCGTTAGTTTGAATTGGTAAAAAAGATCAGCACAATCTGTCGGTGGCTCACATCAACTAATACGATTTTGGTTTTAAAAAACTGGCTACAAATTTAACATGGGGATGGAATATCTAAGATAGTAGCAATACACGTTTATTATCCATTTAAAATAAAAAATATTTTACACCCATCACTAGGCACCTTAGGTAATGTTAATTTTCAGATTTACCTTTCCAACAATAATGTATGCCATTAAGGCTTAACTATTTCAAGGTGGAATGTCCCTAAACAGTTTAGTAAATTTTGTTACTTACACATTTTTTTAACTAATTCGAAGTATCTCTTAGTAGTTGTGATCTTTAAATTATTTTGAGAACATTTTACCCTTATGTAAAGATATAATGATGGTGTTATTAAATTGTATACACTTGTAAACTTCTCTTATAATGCTCACAAATTATTAAAACCCTTTGTTTGGAAAAAATTACATGTAATGAGTGAAAAAGATCCCGATAGTGAGCAATGACCTCTGGAATTACTATTTTTGCAAATTATATTTCTCATAAGTGTTTTTGTTAGCTTGAAAAGGGAGACTTGGAAGCAGCCTAACGTTTGGGTCCCTCCAAACGACATTCACTTCATTTTAATGTTCCCACCAGATGGACCTAATGTTGAATGATGTAGGGAAGGTGAATTGTCATAGAGCGTAACCCTAACATGTTATATCGATTATGATATACCACCAATTACTACGTAGGAAACAAAACATAGTTAAATCTAAATAATAATTCAGTGCCATTACCTAAATGTTTACTAGTATGAAACAGTTTGAGGTACAGCTAACCCATTTCTCTACAGCATGCCATAAAAATAACTCATTTGTATTAATTAATTGTATTTGTAATCTGTACAATGTCATAGGTACGGTAGTTAAAATGTGCTATTTTATATTTCACATAATCTAAACAGTGGTTCTTAGGACTTAAGCTGAGCTCATTTAAATTTTTTCAGTATGTAAAACGGAGACTAAGTGTCATTACCGTACACACATGAGTCTTTCTTGTAAACTGAAAATCTAATTTCACAATAAAGTGATTGTAGGATTCACGTGAGACAAGCAACTAATTCATTGTTTATATACTTCTGTTGATAAATAAGGAAGAACAGAACACAACATTGTATATGTAAACGACCGACCCTTCAACCATTGGGTCGAAAAGGTTCACACTGAAAGGGAATCGTCCTGAATATTAGATGTACCTTCTTTCAACTGACCCACAATAGTATTCAAATTATTCTTGAAGCTGCATATACCAAGAGATTTAAGACTAAAATCACCATTATTTAATGTAATTATAATAAAGTTAAGCGATATAAATCTAGCTTGATCTAATACGAATAATTGTCCATCATAATAAAGAAATTGTGAAAGTATTACCATTATCCCCTATTAGGGGAAAGTTGAACAAATCTGGGGACTTAATTGTTTTTCATATCTTATAAAACACTATTAACGGATGTTTAACGTTAGCATATTATTTCATCAGTCGTTACACTACTTATGTTATGTTTGGACCAATGCCCAAAAAATAAACTTGACATGACATAAGTGGACTGTATTGGGAATTCAGTGACTTGAGGGTTTGACATAAAGAATCGATATGTGGTCAATACATTTATTTTACTCTACATTTTAACATTATGGTACATTTACATAATTATTCTTTCTTTAATAAACTATTTTAAATTCATGGTACTTAATATCTGGCCAGATTAGTATAATGATTTTACCAATTAATTTAGTAATCCTTATCGGGCCTTTGCCCTTTTCGGCCCTTGGCCCTTTTTGGCCCTTAGCCCTTTTCGGCCCTTGGCCCTTTTCGGCCCTTTGCCCTTTACCCATTTTTGACCTTGGCCCTTTTTGGCCCTTGGCCCTTTTTCCCCCTTAGACCTTTTCGGCCTTTGGCCCTTTTTGGCCCTTGGCCTTTTTTAGCCCTTGGCCCTTTTTGGCTCTTGGCCTTTTTTGGCCCTCGGCCCTTTAAAGCCCTTGGCCTTTTTTGGCCCTTTGCCCTTTACTCATTTTAGCCCTTGGCCCTTTTTGGACCTTGGCCCTTTTTTGTCCTTTACCTACTTTGGCCCTTGGCCCTTTTTGGCCCTTTGCCCTTTACCCATTTTTGCCCTTGGCCCTTTTCGGTCCTTGGCCCTTTTTTAGCCCTTGGCCCTTTTTGGCCCTTTGCCCTTTTTGCCCTTTACCCTTTTCTGGCCCTTTGCCCTTTTTGCCCTTTACCCTTTCAGGCCCTTGGCCCTTTTTGGCCCTTTGCCCATTTTCCCCCTCGGCCCTTTTTCCCCCTTAGGCCTTTTCGGCCCTTAGCCCTTTTTGGCCCTTGCCCCTTTTTTGACTCACAACCCTTTTTGGCTCTTGGCCCTTTTTTGGCCTTTGGACCTTTTTTAGCCCTTGGCCCATTTTGGCCCTTAGCCCTTTTTGACCCGTAGCCCTTTTTAGCCCGTGGCACTTTTTGCCCTTGGCCCTATTTGGCCCTTTGCCCTTTTTGGCTCTTGGCCCAATTTGGCCCTTTACCCATTTTTGGCCTTGGCCCTTTTTTGGCCCTTAGGCCCTTTTTCTGGCTCACAACCCTTTTTGGCCCTTGGCCCTTTTCAGCCCTTGGTATTTTTTGGCCCTTTGCCCTTTTTGCCCTTTACCCATTTTTGCCCTTTGCCTTTTTTGGCTCTTGGTTCTTTTTGGCCCTTCGCCCTTTTTAGCCCTTCGCCCTTTTTAGCCCTTGGCCCTTTTTTGGCCCTTAGGCCCTTTTGCTGGCTCACAACCTTTTTGGCCCTTGGCCCTTTTTAGGCCTTGGCCTTTTTTGGCCCTTTGCCCTTTTTGTCCTTTACCCATTTTTGCCCTTGGCCCTTTTTGGCTCTTGGCCCTTTTTGGCCCTTGGCCCTTTTTGCCCTTTACCCATTTTTGCCTTTGGCAGTTTTTGGCCCTTAGCCCTTTTTAGCCCTTGGCCCTTAGCCCTTTTTGTCCTTTAATCATTTTCACCCTTGGCCCTTTTTTGGCCCTTGGCCCTTTTTCTGGCTCACACCCCTTTTTAGCCCTTGGCCCTTTTTGGCCCTTGGCCCTTTTAACCCTTGGCCCTTAGTCCTTTTTGCCCTTTACACATTTTCGCCCTTGGCCCTTTTTGGCTCTTGGCCCTTTTTGGCCCTTGGCCCTTTTTTGGCCCTTGGTCCTTTTTCTGGCTCACACCCCTTTTTGGCCCTTGGCCCTTTTTGGCCCTTGGTCCTTTTTCTGGCTCAAAACCCATTTTGGCCCTTGGCCCTTTTTAGCCCTTTGCCTTTTTGCCCTTTACCCATTTTTGCCCTTGGCCCATTTTCACGGCCCTTTTGGCCCTTAGCCCTTTTTAGCCCTTGGCCCTTTTTGGCTTTTGGCCCTTGGCCCTTTTGGCCCTTGGCCCTTATTGGCCCTTGGCCCTTTTTGGCCCTTTGCCCTTTGCTCATTTTTGCCCTTAGCCCTTTTTTGGCCCTTGGCCCTTTTTCTGGCTCACAACCCTTTTTGGCCCTTGGCCCTTTTTAGCCCTTTGCCTTTTTGCCCTTTACCCATTTTTGCCCTTGGCCCATTTTCACGGCCCTTTTGGCCCTTAGCCCTTTTTAGCCCTTGGCCCTTTTTGGCTTTTGGCCCTTGGCCCTTTTGGCCTTTGGCCCTTTTTGGCCGTTTGCCCTTTTTGCCCTTTACCCATTTTTGCCCTTTACCCATTTTTGCCCTTGGCCCTTTTTTGGCCCGCGGCCTTTTTGGCCCTTGGCCCTTTTTTTGCCCACAACCTTTTTTGGCCCTTGGCCCTTTTTCTGGCCTACAACCATTTTCGGCCTTGGCCCATTTTGGCCCTTAGCCCTTTTTGGCTCTTGGCCCTTTTTGGCTCTTGGCCCTTTTTGGCTCTTGGCCCTTTTTGGCCCTTGGCCCTTTTCGCCCCTTAGCCCTTTTTGGTCCTTGGTCATTTTCGCCCCTTAGCCCTTTTTGATCCTTGGCCATTTTTGGACCTTAGCCCTTTTGGCCCACAACCCTTTTTGGCCATTTGCCCTTTTTGCCCTTAACCCTTTTTGGCCCTTGGCCCTTTTTGGCCCTTTGCCCTTTTTCCCCCATGGCCCTTTTTTGCCCACAACCCTTTTTGGCTCTTGGCCCTTTTTTTGCCTTTGGACCTTTTTTAGCCCTTGGCCCTATTTGGCCATAAGCCCTTTTTGATCCGTAGCCCTTTTTGGCCCTTGGCCCTTTTTTGGCCCACAACCTATTTTTGCCCTTGGTCCTTTTTGGCTCATGGCCTTTTTGGCCTTTGGCCCTTTTTTTGGCCCACAACCCATTTTGGCCCTTGGCCCTTTTTTGGCCCTTGGCCCTTTTTGCCCTTTACCGAGTTTTGGCCCTTGGCCCTTTTCGGCCCTTTACTCATTTTCGCCCTTGGCCCCTTTTGGCCCTTAGCTTTTTTGGCCTTTGGCCCTTTTCCACCCTTTTTCTGGCTCAGAACCCTTTTTGGCCCTTGGCCCTTTTTGGCCCTTAGCCCTTTTTGCCCTTTACCCATTTTTGTCCTTGGCCCTTTTTTGGCCCACGGCCCTTTTGGACCTTAGCCCTTTTTGGCCCTTGGCCCGTTGTAGCCTTTGGCCCTTTTTGGATTTTGGCCCTTAGCCCTTTTTGCCCTTTTTGCCCTTTACCCATTTTTGCCCTTGGCCCTTTTTGGCTTTTAGCTCTTTTTGGCCCTTGGCCCTTTATGGCTTTTAGCCCTTTTTAGCTCTTGGCCCTTAGCCCTTTTTGCCCTTTACTCATTTTCGCCCTTTGGCCCTTTTTCTGGCTCAGAACCCTTTTTGGCCCTTGGCCCTTATCCCTTTTTGCCCTCTACCCATTTTTGTCCTTGGCCCTTTTTTTGGCCCACGGCCCTTTTGGCCCCTAGCCCTTTTTGGCTTTGGCCCGTTGTAGCCTTTGGCCCTTTTTGGCTTTTGGCCCTTAACCCTTTTTCGCCCTTGGCCCTTTTTTGGCCCTTGGCCCTTTTTTGCCCACAACCCTTTTTGGCTCTTGGCCCTTTTTTTGCCTTTGGACCTTTTTTAGCCCTTGGCCCTATTTGGCCCTAAGCCCTTTTTGATCCGCAGCCCTTTTTGGCCCTTGGCCCTTTTTTGGCCCACAACCTATTTTTGCCCTTGGTCCTTTTTGGCTCATGGCCTTTTTGGCCTTTGGCCCTTTTTTTGGCCCACAACCCATTTTGGCCCTTGGCCCTTTTTGGCTCTTGGCCCTTTTTTTGGCCTTTTGGTCCTTTTTCTGGCTTACAACCCCTTTTGGCCCTTGGCCCTTTTTAGCCCTTGGCCTTTTTTGGGTCTTGGCCCTTTTTTGGCCCTTAGCCCTTTTTGGCCCTTGGCCCTTTTTTGGCTCTCGGCCCTTTTTTGCCCTTGGCCCTTTTTCTGGCCCACAACCCTTTTTGCCCTTGGCCCTATTTGGTCCTTTGCCCTTTTTGCCCTTTACCCATTTTTGCCCCTGGCCCATTCCCCATTTAGGCCCTTGGCCATTTTTGGATCTTGGCCCTTTTCAGGCCTTGCCCATTTTTGGCCCTTGGCCCTTTCCCTTGGCTCTTTTCAGCCATTCGCCCTTTTTGGTCCTCTACCCTTTTTCAGTCTTCCTACTTTTTGGACCTTTGCCTTTTTTTTAGCCCTTAGCCCTTTTTGGCCCTTAGTCCTTTTTGACCCTTACTTCTTTTTGCCCTTTAGCTCTTTTTGGCCCTTCGCCCTTTTGGGCCCTTTACCATTTTTCGCCCTTGGCCCTTTTTGGCACTTGGCCCTTTTTAGCCCTTAGCCCTTTTTGGCCCTTTGCCCTTTTTGGCCCTTAGCCTTTTTTTGCCCTTGCCATTTATGGCCCTTAGCCCTTTTTGGCCCTTAGCCCTTTTTTAGCCCTTTGCCCTTTTTACCCCTTTAATCTGGAATTTATAATCTGGAATTATAGCTTTAATTATAAATCCCAAATTGCGACAAAGAAACCATGCATTAACTAGTTAGTAACCATAGAACTTTAAATATACAAGTTGAAATAAAACTATACGAAATATAACTTTTTTGTGTTAATACATTTCCTGATACAGGAGGAGATGCATTAAATTCCTGGAGTACACAAACTACAACACGCGCCCAACCAGAAATGTCTATTATATAAAGGAAGTTTGCGGGACAACGGGTTCTATTGTCTCCATAATTGTGTAGCGTCACATAATTTATCACCTCTACCTTCTGAAATAATTTTCATAATCCTAACTCAGGCTTCTGTTGTTTTTAATTCGAATTGTAAAACATTTTGTTTGTGAACTTTATTTTATAAGCCGAAACATTAGGTATTGGTTACGTTGTAAATATGAACTAAAGGACATGCAATGACCCACCTTTTGACGGCTATTATTATTATTATTACCTTATTACCATCTTCTTGGCCGTTGACCCATCGTATAATGGGAATAGGCTGTGTCTGCGTAAAAACTACTTATTTTAATACTACACCATGCGCCCACCTTTAAATATTGCAATTTGACCATTTTCTTTTTTTTTTTTTTTTTTGTAAGCCAATGTTTTCGTGTAAATGTCATGTGTATATAATGTGACGGTTCTTCACAGGGGATCAACAGGATTTGTATAACTACGTGGTTACCTAGCCCTTAGGTTAGAAATCTTTGTCACTGGTCAAAATTCTTGATCTTTGACAGTACGACAGGCATTTTATAACCTTTTTATTAGTAAAATAAAACCAACCGCAATGATAGTTGGTGTACTATAAAGATGGATTGAATTAGCGTTTCAAGTTTAAATCAACCGAACATAATTTGACTTCGGTCGAAATGGTTTTGACAGTTTTAAAATGAATCAATTTTTGTTCAATTCAGCTCATTGTTCCAGCAATTTGGATATTTCCATTATGTTGACCTAACAAAGCATGTAAATTGGATTTTTCAAATCGTTCAGATTGTTTTTAAATTATAAATAAAATTGTTTATATGTTTTCAGAAACTGTCAGAACCACAACACCTTTGGATTTTTCTATCAAAAACTACGATAAAAAATAATGTTAGATAACGTTTAATGTGACGTACAGAAATTTATTTTAGGCCTAAAACTAATGCATTAAAGCCTAAGTATAATGCACGGCCTAAGTATTGGAAATTTTAAATTAAAATATTATAAAGCTAAAACACGCTGAAAGATGACGCCGTACACAATGTCACATCATTAACCTTGATAATTTAAAATTTTGCTGCGTAAAATTATACTTTTTTTATTTTATGTAGTTCAATAAGGTTATTTGTAAAAGTTTTCTTTTGAAAAGGCAAATCTTTCTCAACTGGATGGTTCTTTTAGGACACAAAAGGTCCAGGAAAGGTATTAGATAATTGAAACTGTTACAGATAACGCTACTAAAAATTATACACAAGAAACGTAGCTTAAAAACAACTTTCTAAGTAATACAAATTGTTATCATACCAACTATAACAGAGGAGTATGATCCTCTAGAAAAATCTTAACGAAGATCAAAGGTCTAATACTCATTAAATGAAATCCCTATTAAGTTACACTAAATTAGATCTCTTCCTGAAATACGTGTTGCTGCAAACCCAAATTCAAAAAGTTCGGCTTAACAAAAATAGCGGCAGTTTAAAACCATAAACCTAAGCTTGTAGAATTTGGTGTCAATTTTTGCTGTTCACTGACTTTTTGTGACCTTGTTCAGTACCAAGACAATTCAGATCAAAATAATAGTACTTTTGGGCCGGTAAAGAAAGGTGGACGATCCATATAATATATTTCAGACCGATTCCCACTCTGTCGTGAACCTTTTCGTCCTATATGTTAAAGGGTTGGTCGTTTACATATACAAACTTGCTATCTGCCCCTTACTATGTATTAACACTAGGGTAAAAATAAGTTTGTCCATAAAATACACTAGAATTTACAAAAGTATTTGGTTCAGTTAGTAAAAGAGACTTTCGTAGTAAGAACTAGTACACGACTTTGTTGTGAATCTTTAAGAAATAAAATACAGTTTGTTGTTTTTGCTCAACTGTTGTAACACGAAACATTTTGTTCATCATTTTACCAAACTTACCATTATAACACAGTAAAATAATATTACGAAGGGTAAATTGAATATTTAATATGTTTTAAATCATATTAAATTCATATTAATCATATAAATCATATTAATCATATCTTTAAAAATAAACATTAACTTTCATTAAACTTATAGATAGAATAAAATTTTTAGTTTTTCAAACTATTAATATTTATTGAAGTAAGATACTTAAACAAATATTTTGTTATGAAATTAATGTTCAACAATAATTATTGCATGCGTTATAGTATGAACTACCGTGTTTATGTTCTAGATTATTACAAAATCTACAATAAAAGTAAAGCTTGGACCGATTCCCCCTCATATTGTTGGATTAATCGGTTCTATGCAAGAGTATCACTATACCATTGGTATTGTATTAATTGGTATATTAATTATAGGGTGTGTAAATATGAATTTTTATGGTTTTAATAAGTTTTTTTTTGTTGAGTGTTAATTCATTTCTTAATTGTTGAACAATAATTGGCTATAATTGAAAAAAAAATAAAAAAAACTACATGTAATTTCTAGTATTGTGCGTAAAGTACATGCAAACAATATGGTACACACACACACCCACATCAATTTCCAAAAAAAATGTTCATACATAAATAATTTGTTTACATTATATTTAGCCTCCTCTTTAAAGAGACCATAAAGAAGTTAGTTATTCAAACAAAATATTTACGAATCGTTGTACATATAAAGCATAACAAGTTAAAACTTATAATGTAATCAGATCATGCATGGTTGATTGCTGAACCAATTTTGAAATGTGTAAAAAAAAGACTTTAAATAGCTTTAGTCGTCTTAGGATCTACAGTCCTGCGTGCTAAGCCACAACTTAGGCTAAGTTCTTCAGTAGAGTTCTGGTCTACTTATAAAACGTGGTTATTATAGTTTGCACTGATTTCTTTTTTTTATGCGTAAAATATTTGTCTTTTACAGGTTAGTAATTATTTAATACGAATTCAATACAAGGCAACCTATTATACATGATGAGATATGTATATGTCTGTATTTAAGCTTTAACTTTTACCCTCCCTTTATTGTTCAACATTAGGTTCATCTGGTTGGAACATTAGAATAAAGTGGATGCCATTTGGAGGGACCCAAACGTTAAGTTTCTACAGGCTCCCTTTGCATGCTAGATCTAAAATGTCAAATAACAAACGTGTAATTTAAAGTGTAAACACTCCCATATATTACGTTTTCTTTTACTTTATTTTTTTATACCTCAAGTATTATTTGAACAGTAGTTAAATTTGTTTATAAAACTAACTAGTCTTTTCCTTTTTTTTGTTTTTAGTAAATGCTTGTTATACTATAAGTAGCATAACTTATAGCATAACCTTATCTTGCTAAAATGTAATTTTCAATGCCCAAATGATTATTATTTGAATTTGAAGAACAAAATAGATTTTCGTTCAGTAGATTGGAGGCATAAAGGGTTCGTGAAAAGGAAAGAGGTGCGTTTAGTATGATTACACAAATAAAAATAAAACAGTGAGATGGATCAATCCAGCAAGCTCGCTTTTGAAATCAAGCAAGGTTTGGTATAAGATTTTAGGGCATACCTTGGTTTTCACATTTTATTTTATGCTCATACACACCAAAAAATAGTTCCTATGATTGATAATACTAAGTGTCGTGTGTATAAAATCAACGGATAAAGTTTTCTTTTGGAGCAGATGACAAATTTAACGGTTTGTTTGCGGTTTGTACTGCCATTACCCCCTTCAAAATATTGGAATTTAAGTAATTTTATTGCACAATTTATTACTAAAGTAGAATTTTACTAATTAATGCTGCTAAGATCTATTACTCCAAAAGTTATTCCAAAGTAAATCACATATATTAAATTACTTTAACTTTCAATGAGAAGTTTCGAGCTGTAAACCTCATAAGGGTTGTCAGTCTTCAAATAATTCAACGTGGAACCAATATCCGTTACCAATGGAAACTGAGAGATAGTGTTTGGATAAACACCAGTCTTAGTTAGTTACTCTACCTATTAACGTTTTGGATTAGATAGTAGATAAGGTAGTAGAGTGACTGCTTATATTTAAGACATGTTTTTGTTAACAAAGGTGCGGCAAAAAAACAGTCTATTTTCTGCAGCGAACTGTTCAGCAGCATAATCGATGCCATTTTCTGTAGTCATAGAGCAGTGGTCACCTGAGCAACGCGTGTTTGTTTAAAAAAAGTAATGATTCAGGCATTACAACTCAGCGGCATTTCCATGCATTCTTTAAATTAGGTCAGCATGGAGAGGTTCCGTCACGACTAGGTTCCTTATGGATAATCAACAAAACTAAACAGATAAATACAAATTAATCTGAAGGGATAGGAATTAAGATCGAACCTCAAAATTGTGTATCCGAGCGTTCAGACATGTTCAAAGCAGATGTTTGTTTTCGGGCGGACCTACGAGGATTGTTTTCCACAGCAGCACGAACTCTATCGAATGTTAGTTGTCTGGCGTCTAATTATTTGGACAGCTTGTCAGCTTATTGTTAACGCAAAACTTGTTGTTCCCAAGTTGGTAACCCACCACATGATTGTCCTACTTGACGGAATCCACGTCGCCCTAATTTAAAGAATACATTGAACTGACGTTTGAATGCTTACTAGGAATTAATACGTTTTTAATTCAACTCGATAACAAACGCACGTTGCTCAGAGGATCTCTGTTCTACTACTACAGATACTAGATCGTGTATGCTTTCCAACTACTCTAACCCCACCACTATCAGACTACCTATTATTGCTGAACAGGTCGATGCATAAAATAGATAGTTTTTTTCCGCATCCTTTATTTCGTATTTTCCACGTAATGGTAAGGTGTTCAAAACTTGTTTGTTTATCTTGTTAAATAAGCATAATGTTTCCTAATTCATGTTAGCTAAATTGTGAATGGCTTAATACAGAATTAGCCAACACTGTCAATTCAATATTGTACAATACCTTTTAAACTACCATGATCGTATAAAATAAAAATACCAGTTTAAGTTAATAATAATAAAGTTATTATTAACTTTATTAGTCAACTACTAACTTTATTATTAAATAGTCAACTATTTTGAAATCCCTGTGCGTGAAATTGACACAGCAAGTGGCCCTTTTGTGAAATAACAGACGGAAAACATATCAATCGGTTTAACATTTAAATTGTCTTGAGTAAATCAATAAAAAAGGCTCGTTGTGCCCTTAAAATTAATGAAGGAAATTTACTCCTTTTATGGTATTAATATACAACGGTGTTGCAATTCCCAATAATATTGAAAAGTGTTTGTTTTTTAAGTGTTTATTTATTAAAAAAATAAACTTTGAAAATTATCCATAAGTTATTTCCAGTAGTTGTTGTCACTTACTAATAAATTGGAGTACGTCCATCTAGAACAGACCCAACCCACCCAGGGAATGGGATGGTCCACATCACCCGAATAAAATTTAAGCTGATTGAATAAGTCTTCTTAGCAATTTAGTGCAAGGCAGTATAATGATTTATATTGTTTAGTCTTTTTATAAAATGGCCGTCTAAATAATTCTAAGATGTCTTGATGCACAGGGTTTTCATAGTATTTTTTTTGCAAAACAATAATATATAATATTCATTTCCACAATGAAAGAGATTTGAATGAGTTTAATGTGTGTGGTATGACATTTCCACTATGAAAGATATTTGAATGAGTATAATGAGTATGACGTCATAACATTTCGTTTTACTGAACTGTGGAATTGAGTGTTTTCTACGTCTTCTGAATCCCCTGGCGTTGCTTGTTAAAAGAAAATACTCCGATTTCAGAATAACTGGTGGAAAATATGAACGCATCTTACTTATATCCCTACAGGTTACACATTACACTTACACATTAAATCGTTCATATAATTCAATTAGTTCGAATGTTTTGTTGTTTTAACCTTGATAACAAACAACACCCGACAGAGTAAATAATGAAATTCATTGTACAATGAATTTATGGTAGAAATAACAGGCTAGTCTGAATCGTGCACCTTAAAATCGATGATAGTTTCTGTAAAAGTGTTGATATTAGAGATTTTTAACAGATATTCAAAATATTTAACAGTAGGGCCTATTTAATTGGTGTATTTGCTTGAAATTTAACACCATTGGTTTTACACATGCCAAGTGATCTTAGCTCACGAACGTCGCTGCACCTCTTATAATATAGACAACTACCATGTATTTTCACCACGAAGTAAATCTAAATTGTTGCTTAAATTATAACATTGGCTATTGGATTTGGTTTGCATTCTACCTGTAAGAAAGGTCGGTGAAAATCATAAGTGAATGATACATGTATGTTTCAAATATTACCAACTATTTGTTTTTATTTGGTGGTGAATCTCCTAAGAGTGTTGAAGAATATACTACCCTGTTAATATTAGCAATGTAATTACCATTTTTTGTTACTTTATTATTGCCTATCAATAACCGAGTGCTTAAAAGATCCCTGAAACAAAAATAACTTGCAGGTTGACCAGAAAGTCCCAACAGACGGATGTCTTAGAAACATAAATATCTTTATAATTTCCATAATTGTGTCAAGCAGTTGAATCCTGTAACAACTTCTATACAAGCATGACGAATGATGGCTTTGATCACATTTTAATGAAAAATGTTAGAATACATTAAACTAAACAATAACTTGATGGTATCAAACTAATGATTTAATACGATCAATATCATACTTTACCAACGTCACAATTTTCAAAAAGCTATTTTTCAGGTAATTCAATAAAACTAATTAACATGTTTTGTGTTTTAATTATCTTGATATTATTACTTAAGTTTCTTTTTAATCCGGAAGCAACTCAATAACTGGCATTAAACCACCAAAGGGACTAGCAGTGTCATCAATAGAGGGTTCTGAAAAGTGATCTGTTCTTGAATTGATCCTGTTAACACCATAATCGTTAAACCTGTCTACTTCCTCTCCGGTGGATTTCGGTTGCGGCCGTTTTTGAAGCTGATTCGTTCTCGTTTCTTGCAATGTGCTGTAACCATCTCCTTGAGGTTGACAGTTTGTAGGGTAACATAGGATCGGTTGGGCCGGGTACGGTTGACAAGTCGGTTGGTTGGATAACGGTTGGCAATTTATCGGTTGCGAGTTACCAACTAACGGCTGACATATTACCGGTAATTTAGGGTTACATGTTGGTTGTCCAGGTCGGACTGCCCATGGTTGGCAAGCTATCGGTTGGCACTTTAGTTCATTATCAGTAGGATTTTGAACCGATATCGGTTTGCCGGTAACACCTCTATTAAGGTCTGGTCTTGGTGTTTGCCATGGTTGACCGATCGGTTGTGGTTGGTTTATCGGTTGTTTTTGTTGTAAGAGCTTATTGTAAAACCACATAATGGTATCTCTTAAAAATCGCGGCTCTATTCCTCTGTCGTCAGAATCTTCTGTGTTTTCTGTGCCGTTAAGTATTGGGTGTGTACCATTAATTACGTCGATCGTTGAGTTTACATCTTTGTTGTGAATGTTTACCTGAAAAGGTATTTATTTAATTATTCATTATCTATAGTTGCAAAAAATTTAGTTTCGAATTTATTTTGGATCAATATTAGGTTAAGAAAAAAATATTAGTGCTACAAAATAGTGATTTAAGTAATATATTGAGTTGCAGTAATTAATTATTTAATTTTCCACAAAACCTGTCAATAGCATATTTCAATATTTCATTCGACCTTTTAGAAAACCTTGTTTTCATTTTATTTGTTTACTTATAATGTTACCAAATTTAATTCTCACGCACTAACAGTCCTATTGTAATGTGAGAAATAATGATCATGGATTGATTGAACTTGAAAAGCTACTTTTTTATCTACTTCCAACTACCAATCCAACGAGGAATCGTAAAATGTATGGTTTAAAATACGTACAAAGTGATTTTATCTTGGCAAATAGAAGTAAAGATTGCAAATATAGCATTAAACTATTTTGTGATACATTTTACCTTGTCATCGACGTATTCTGCATCTGTATACAGTACGATAATACATATAATATGAAATATCTTGTATTCCATAACATCCAGTAAAACCCTAAAACAAATAGTTTGTTTGTTAATTGTTCATCAAACATTTTTTTACAATAGACTTAGTAGCTAAATGTCTCTCGCTCTGATTTCTAAATCCGAAGGTCAACTAAATTCAAAAACAAATTTAGATAATCTTTTACAGAAAATTTAAGAGTAACTGTTAAATTTCAAATATTTATCAAAATTTTATAAAATTTATCAAAAAGAAGTAAAATTACACTATTAAAAAGGTTTGAGATGAAATTGCTATGAAATGTAAAGTAAACGACATATTTCTTCTGTCAAATCGTATTTAACTTGCTTACTTATGAGTAGTAATTGAACTATATAACTGTCCGTAATTATATATGACTCTCCGAATATTCCATCCCCAGCTTTTAAAAAAAATTAGCTTAACTGATTCAATTTTAATTTTGACTATTTTAACCCTTACAACTTTTTGATCGGCTGTTGTTTCCAGCTGAATTCACGTTATTTCGTCCAAAATGTTGATTAATTCAAAAATAACTTTTGTAACATAAAATCTGCTCTTTTAAAGCAGTAAAAACATCTTTCTAAAAAATCATAAGGTGTATTTTTATATTATAGACGTCTAAACATTGTGTAAATTAAGTCTTGAAACAAATATTTTTAAACCGAAATAGAAAAAAATATTCAGTTTGTAGCATTGATTGTTAACGAATGTCCCGCAATTTTTTACATCAAAAATATTTTTTAACCCCCCTAACAGGGTAGAGGGTAGGGGGTGACTTTTTTTTCAAATAGCAAACACTCATGCAAACCCGAGGTGGATATCTCACCCCTAGGCAAAATGGCAGGTATTCCAATATTTGATTTACTGTATGTGTAGACGCACCAATTTCACAAATATGGAAACAAATCTGTTTTTTTTGAAACCGAAATAGATAAAAAACATTCTGTTTGTGGAAATGATTGTTAACATGGGTTCCGCAATTTTTTACATCAACAATATTTTTTAACCCAAGATGGGGGAGACTTATTAAAAAAAAAAATAACAACCCCTATTGAGTGACCCCTTATTTTGAAGGGTTTGTCAAAATAAAAACAATGACGCAAATCCGAGTTATATATTTCACCCCTAGCCTAAATGGTGGGTATTCCAAAATTTGATTTATGTGAAAAAGCACCCATTTTGGAATACCCGCCATTTTGGCTAGGGGTGAGATGTTCACCTCGGATTTGCGTCATAGTGTTTCATTTGACAAACCCTTCAAAATGAGGGGTCACTCAATAGGGGTAGCTATTTGAAAAAAATAAGTCACCCCTACCCTGTTATGAGGAGTTCAGAAATATTGTTGATGTAAAAATTGTGGAACCTTTGTTAACAATTATTGCTACAAACAGAATATTTCTATCTATTTCGGTTTTAAAAATACAGATTTGTTTCAAGACCTAATTTACACACTGTATATAATTATCTTGAATTAAAAAAAAATTATAACCGATTTCTGTCAATATTAAACTAGAAAAAACATGCGAGGTAGCTGAAAAATGTTACGCCAGCTGAATCTAAACAATAAGTAGCCTAATTGTTTATTTCATTAAATCTTTTTATTCATCGATAAGGAAGATTTGAATATAGTATAAACTTACCTGAAAAGTAAATTTGTGAATGTGGCTTGAAAATTATTAATTCCTAGCCATGAATTGTGTACTGTTAAACAGAAGTAATACAAACACAGTGAAACAAGTTTTTAGTGTTTTCTCATTTTTCACGCCACTGGTTAAGAACAATACTGTGATTCAAGAAACCATAACTCTGATAATTTAGTCTAGCTTATATTGCAAGTTGTTATCACTGGCAATCTGTGTTTAATATTTTAAACACAAACAACGTACTCGCTTACTCTTTAATAATAATCTGTGGTTCCATTTTATTGTTACAAATAGTTGTTGAGTTGCGTAAAATATTACTTTCATTGGTGGATTTAAATGTTTTATTTAAGTGATTAATAGGACACTGTGTCATCTAGACGCTATTCGACTCCTAGAAAAATTACTAGTAAGGATGGTTCATTGAACACACTTGATGTTGAAAATGGAGTTCAGGAATAAGGTTCTAAACGTGTCATTAAAACACACTATATTTGGATATTTATCGTGTTACCTTTCTTTCTTGGAAGATGGCCAATACGTATTCATTACCATACACACACACTTCTAGATGGAAAGTAGCTGCTCTTGAAAAAGGGAATTGAATTTCCCGAAATTTTCCACGGCCAAATTCACAAAATTAAAATATTCGTCCTAATATCCTCTAAAAAAAACTAAAATAACCCACCCACATGCGTAAGGTGAATACAAACGTTTTTTTCATGAAAAATTATATATTTATTATTTTTTTAGAAGTATTTTTTAAGGTGACTAGTTAATAACCATAATTGACCATTTAAATTGTAATAGTTCAACCAGGCGTTTTGTTATAAGACGGAAAACAATCTAAAAATCGACAAATTGACCGGATATTAAGTGCTGGACAGGAAACTATAATGACCACTCTAATCGATCACTTCTACCATATGAACCGTTCTCATTAATCATTACTTTAAAACAGATGGATAGCTCTATTTATTTAATTATTTCAACACCAAGCAGCCAATTGGACAAAGAAAACTCAAACTGTTCAAGATGGAGATCAGTAAATTAAATAAATTGATTATTTACTTAATAGATTTGAAAATAATATCTTACAATTAATTACTTACAAAAACATATGACCTTTTTCGTTGGTCATTACTTTTTTAAATGTACTGTTCCTTTTAATTAATTAATCTATTTACTAACGGTGTTAACAGGTTTTAATATTTATTAGCACTGCCAATGACTATTGAAAGTGGTAAATTGCAAATACATACAATTATCATTAAAATATACAATCACCATAAACAACACACCCAATCCATTCATATCTCATTGATGAAACAACAAAACAACTAAGTAGCAATGGATAGCATAATTTAAAAAAAAACCACAAGTAAAGACAAAACAATAACTCGATACAATCACATTTTGATTTAATTTAGTTTAATCTGGTAAAAAGGTAGTGTTATGATAAATAAAGTTACGAATAACAAAGGATTGAACTTTTAAATAGCTAATCTTTATTTTATATAGTCAAGAAATTAGTTTGATGAAGAAATAAAACCGAGTTTAAATAACTTCAACAAAAAATAAAAATAAACTTAAAGAAATACATTTAACAATTAAAGAGCTTTATTAAACCCCATTTTGTGCATCATTTTAAACGCTTTAATCGTTTCCGTTTACAAGTATAATTATTCTTTGGAAAATGATAAACATAAATTATTCAATGTGATTCCACACAGGTAACACGGAATGCCATTTGTTAGCTGCTGTGATGCTGTCTGTTGTCGTATGTCGGAATCATGGAATCTACCCACCGCTCACCACAAGCATGTAGATTCCTCACATTCGGTATTTACGTCGAATGCAATGTGAATGTAGACCTTTCACTCAAATTGTCATTCCAACATTTCATGTCGCTCACCAGGCATTGTGAATGATTTAGATTGTTCCCTTTACATTACTATAGGTAACTTTGTTTTAATTCGTAAAATATTAATTATGTTCTTTATTCTTTAATGTGGAGACAATGTGATAAGAATAAATGGTATTTTGGTATTATACTGACCACACCTAATAATTATAATCAAACCTAACCTAAGCTAACCTAACCTAACCTAAGGGCGGACTATGTTTTAGGTTGGGTTACTTGGATATTTAAACTAATTAAAATCTTGTTTGTCGGTATAATACCAATGTACCGAATCAATAGGGGAAAGTTATAAGGAGAATTATTTTCCGCCAGATTAGACGTAGAAAATCTTTTCTTTTATTTACGTACTATATATACCATATTAGTTTGAGTATATTTTTTTTTTTTTTGGCGTTTGTGAGTTATATTTAAATGTAATTTTACATTCAGTTTAAAAAGAATAAACTTATCTATGTAGGAATATGGTAGCAATTATTATTCTAAAGCAAATATGAATGTGACCTATACATTATTTTGTTATTGAAAGCAGGTTTTAAAACTACAGTACATCAATGAGTCCCATAATAAATAATTAATTAAATAATTACAGTCGACTAGGTTCATTTACGTAATTTAGTTGCGAAACTCAAATCATTTTGCTAATATGAAATACTGTAGGCTCAAGAACACATCGTGCATGGCCATTTAAACTTTGGTGTGATAACTCCTTAAAACAGCACTCTTGGGCATCGTTAGGGAGTATGATTGTATCACATGTTTATCACTTAGTGCTGAGTTTTACAAAGTAAAAACTGAATTATTACACTTATAAACGGCAATGCTTATTTGGTAAATAACAAAGACGATTACGAGTACAGTATTGGCCAAAATAAACAGGACTGAAACTTAATCAGCTGTAGTTGCCTTCTCGATCAGCTGACTAGACAATTGTTGCCACGGCTTCGTGTTTATTACTTCTTTCTTATTTTGCTAACATGTTGCTAACAACGGTAGAGGAAACCTTTTTCAGTGAGCATTATTTTTGCTCTTACGGAATTAGACATGTTTGTGGAGCAAGCTTGCACTGTATTACGTTTTAATGAAGATATTCACAAAGACCCCCATTTTAATTCTATGATTCTTAGTTTAGTTAAGATTTTGAAGATAAGGTAGTGTTTTGACTTAACATAATGGTTTTGTCAGGTCCTCCAACACTGTATGTAAAATGAAAACCACTGAAGGAAAATAACCATGTGTATTAGGAGGATAAAACAACCCCTATACGAGTAAGAGTGTTACCTCAAACTGAATGTGGGTCACATTGAACAGATTTTACTTCCTTTCACTTGTATGATAGAATGTATATATTATGTATACTATGATAAAATATTACAATTTTAGTACTGTTTGTTTTGACTAATACTATATTTCAAGAAATCTGTTTATTATAATCGTTATACATTTGTATTTAGAAATAAAGCAGCCCGAAGCTGTTGTTGTAGGAAGCCCATATATTCTCTGGAATATCTGGCTCGATCACTTCTTCGGTCAAATCATAGTAGTCTTCTTTGTTGCCACCCCAAGCTTTCAGTAAGATACCTCCATGTTGGACCGAGCTGTCCTATAAATAATTTTCTTTAGGTGCATTTTCTTTAGATCCAAGTTTAATGATATATATTGGTCAATTTTTATCTCTAAAAGGTAAATAGAGCCCCATGATTCACAACAGTGTAAAAATATATACTGAAACAGCAATATTACAAGTTTAGATTATTCTGAAAGGAAATTAAATTCAATTATATTATCTAGTCATTATGTTCTGATGTTACTTGTTTTCAACTCTTAAATCAACCAATGGTTTACGGTTATGTTTTGCGGAAGTAATTTTGTTTAATGCTTTAACACAAAAAGTAACCGAACTATAATATTAGAGTGAACTATTTCAGTTCGATAACCTTAATCTATAAGAAACATGATTCTGATGCATATTACCTGATCAGCCCCTGAAATGATAACCAACAAGACGCTGGCGAAGAATAAAGTCAAGAGAAAACTGAATATAATGTAGCTGAAACAAATTATGTACTGAGTTTAAATACATTCTATATGTTAATAAAGTTTACTTAAATTACGTTTATATAATAACTGACATATTTATTTAATGAAATTTTTCCCAATAATTGATATGTGACAGGTTTCTGGACCATAATTATGTAAGGAGGTGACGTTTTATTTTGTTATGATTACAAAATGATTTTTAATGTTAAGCACAATATTTGTGAATAATAATTTTGAAGGAAAACTGAGAACAGTTTGCAAATAAATCACAAACACCGAATCACAATTGTTTTATTTACAGATAATGTAGCAATATCATATTATATAATAATAGGCCTAATGCACAGTTGGTTAAAATTTGTAATCCACCTCATTCTAATTTAATATAATTATAAAAATAGTTTTACACCAAAGAAATCTGTTTTGTTTTTAAAAAACCTTATTACTTTCAGATTAAATATATTGACCAAATTGCTTATGAAAAGCATGTCCGTATTAGGAAATGATTAAAACACGAAATACTGCCTAATCGAAACTTAATTCATTATCACTGGAACTTAAACCTTTTAAAACATCATTCCTGTTAAAAAAATTAATATTTATTGTCTTTTATTAATTTATTTAAATTCACCCTTAAAATAAAATAATATGAATAATAATTTTATCATCAAAGGGTTATGAGAAACCTTTATGATAAAAAATAAACAAATAAGAACAAAAATCGAATTTATTTTTATTAAAATACAAGGGTGAAATTAAACCAATGCCTTATAACAGCTGGTTATAGTTAGAATATGATTCTTAAGCTTAAAAACAGAATAAAATAAAAATAATGACTTACACAACGTTTATGTACCTCGTTTATGTACCTAATACTCGGTGTAAAAAAAGGTTGTAATATCCTATAATGAGTCGTAACTAATGCTTTAACATTGAATAAAATAATAAAAACTAGTATATTGTAATTAGGCTACTTCAATGTTCAATTAGGCTACTTCAAATGCGCAATACATAATTGCATGGAAAAAACTATGAACATAAAATATGTTACATACTAGAAAGAATATTACAAAAACGAACCCCATTTCCTACCAGAATGTGCTGTTGACTGA